TTTTAAGTGAGACACTAAACTCAGGAGTTAAATCTTACAAATGCATTCAAGTACCTTAACTATTAACCTTAGCTATTAACAAAAATGTATCTTATTTGTGTATCACTCGACTGTAGATCCCCAAATCATCTCTGAATTAATGTGCATACTGTCCTTCCTTCTGGAGGGTGGCTACTTTTGTTCCCCATGGTCCCTGTGTGTGTTGTAAAGTAGCCACTACTTCAAACTCACTCCTGTGAAGGACTACAATCTCATGTTAACTATAATAATTTTACTAAAGTTATAGTCTATCACTGGAGTGAGCTTCAAGCATTGGCTACTTGACAACACACATAGGAATCATGGGGACCAAAAGTATCCACCCTCCAAAAGGAAGGACAGTGTCAGCATGAATTCAGAGATCATTTAAGGATCTACAGCTGAGTGATACACAAATAAAATACATTTTTGTTAATAGTTAATTTAGTACATTTGTAAAGTTTAAAGAGGAACCATGAGGTGAATGATTCCCACTCATCCTCATAGTTAGAGCCGACATTTGACATTGAAACTGTCACATGTCGGCTCTATAGATCGGGAAGTAAGCGAACACATACCATCAATCGCTTACTTTCCACTCACCTCCCTGCAGAGAGCGGTGACTATCAGTCACCGCTCCCCGCAGGGATTCCCCTCCCCTCTCCAATCCTCCAGCACTGACTGGAGGAACAGATGGGAAGGGGGCGTGCACAGCTAGCTCTGCCTCTATTGATAGCCAGCTGTCAATCAGCCAGCTGGGTGGCTCTCAACAGTATTGGCTGCGGCGCTCTCAGTATATAGCTCACAATAGTTCGCTATATATTGAGCTGTGGGTCACGGGAGGAGGTTAGTGTATGTCCTCCCTTGACCCTAAAGAGAACTATGGGATAAAAAGGTTACCCTATAGTTCTCTTTTAACTTTTGAGTTTAGTGTCACTTTAAAAATATTGTTCAAAAGTACTGAAATATAATCATTTATGTGCACTCAAACTTTCTGTACTTAGTAGAAATATCCAGATTTATTTTATTTACGTTCAAGTTCAGGGCTCATGGACATGACAGAATAGAACTACTGCAAAGTGCACGATATGAAAACATGAAAACATGTAAAAGAATCAGGCATAGAAAGCCTAGATGAATAACTTAATTGGCTCTGACTCTTATCTTAAGAAACAAACTCCTTTTATTGCTCAATGGACAATTGTGAGCCTTCTAACCTCAGTTCAAACAAGGCATCTGAAATAGAACCCACGCAGAGTTCAAGCAGGTAGTGTACATTCAATACGATTGTACATTATATGTTTGAAAAAACAAGCTCTCTAACCGTTGAGGGACAAATTCATTTCTATCTATAGGCAAAGCCTGCAGACTGTGATCAGTTGTGCTGCTACACAAACAATACATAAATGCAATAAACATGAAATTAACAATACATTTGCTTTCACCACTAGCAGCTCAGTGCTTGTAGTTTTCAGTATAGAGCTCTACATAAATGCCCCCTCACACTAACCTACCCTGTAGTCCTGACACTACCCTCCTAATCATAAGAGGGGGAATAAAAAAGCTGGGTGCATGCCAAAAAAATGCACCAATTTATATATGCCTGCTTAATTAGTGGTTCCTGAGACTAAAGCTGGGTACACATGTAGCGAATCTGTGGGTGACCATCTCCCCTTGACAGAAGTCGATCATTAGATTGACTTTTGCCAAAGGGACATGATGGAAAATCATCAGCCGGACGGTGCTTGCAACCAATTAGAATACAATATACACCGTGGGAGATTTGTTTATCCATGCTTTTAGCATTTGTGGAGGAATCACTAATATTTGTTTTGTTCATCCTATGAGGCTGAACAAAAAAAAATATTAGTGTATGCGCTTAAGTGGTGCGTGTCAATTAGTTAATTTGTTTATGGTGGTTCTCATACACTTACTCTGGCATGAACCAAACCTTTAGCACAAATCTGAGGAAATGTTCTGCAGGGATTATGCAAGATTTTTCATAAAAATCTACCTCTTCTCTTCACACCTCACTGGCCATCCATACAGTATACATCCCCCCCCCCCTTTCCTCTTCTTTCTGCACCTCTGTGGCATCCTCCATATATATCCTCCTCTTTCCTCTCCTGTCCCAGTGCTGATAATTGCAGTCATCTCTCCTTACTACAATATTTACACCCCTCTGGTAATGATGTACATTTTACAGGGGGTTTTTAATTAGATTATTGAACCCAAGTGCTTCATTACTTTAGTGCAAGTGATCAGACACTTATAGAAATAGTTGAATAACTCTTTTGACGTGACTTGGCGCAGCTGGTGCAACACCATATAGAGCTTTACGTATAACATTGGTTATTATATCCCTTTATTAATTTCCCACATTTTCTTGTTTGCATGCTCACCTCTCCTGCTCCAGGATTCTCTTCGCTGAAGACTCATGTCCTGTTTAAAGTATATGTAAACTCAATTACTGCAATCTCATATTCCTGTGACACATTAATATAGTTTAAAATTTCATTTTTCACATGTTTAAATCTAAAGTTTTAGGTTTTTAGGACCAATTTACATCTATCAGTTGCGGGAACTCATGCGTTAACGTGCACATTACTGCAACACATGGCAAAGCACATTTAATGCATTTCATTTTGAATAGCACCCCAATGGGCTAAGGCAATGCACATGTGTAGCAGTGCAGTGCGCTGCACTGCATGGCACTGCACCATAGTGTGTTGCGTTGCAGCACAAATTTTATGACATGTCTGACATTTGGTGTGTCGAAGCCCATTGTTTCAATGAGCTGCCTCAATTAAACATTGTGGCACATGTGTTAATGCATATGCATTAACATAGTGCACAAATGTAAATGGGACCTTAAAATATGACCTTAGTGATTGTGCTATGTAGGTCCTTAATTCAGCTGCATCCTTACATTGGTCCAGCTTGATCCAATGTAAACATGCATATGTCATACTTGTTGGTCTTGCAGCAATCTTCCTGGTACCACAGTTTGCTAATGGCTTCCCCTCTGCTCCAAAAAAACACAGGGGTAGCTCTGGCTACTACAGTGCTTTACACGATTTACAGGATTCCCAGTGGCTGACCAGGTATATCATATGCATAATGATATCGGGCCAACCTGGACCAATGAAAGTACGCAGCATAGTTTATACTTGGAGTTCAGGTTCAAGCACTTCCTGTTATATTGTGACTTTGTTCTTTCTCTGGCTTCCTTTTGTGCTCCTGTGTTGTTACAGAGGTGTCAGATGGAGACTAAAAGTGGCTAATTCAACACACATTACAGTCCATTAGCAAACCTGTCATTGCTTGATTGTGTGAATGTAACCAAGTGGCTAAAAAAAGATGCTGCTAGAGATAAGCAAAACTGAGATGCAACAAGGATAAAAAAAAAAAAAAAAACTATTTTATTGTTATAAAAACACATTATTTATGAAAAACATGTGTAAACTACTGTATATATCACTCAGTTAGAGTTTCCATCTTATCCCTCTTAACAATAAGTAATCATTTACATTTATGTTTCTTCAGGGGCTTACTCCAAACTAGCCTTGGTTTATTCTACAGAATATTTATCTGTCCTTGATTAAGAAAATACATTTTCTTTTGTCTGCAATCTCTGATATCACCATTGATTAAATCGTAAAGCCTAATGGTATTTTTATTAAATAAATGCTGTATTGCCTTTTGTCCAGACTGTTCTGACACCATAGTGCTGCAGTGATAAAGGTATTGAAGGGTGTCAGTGATCTGTGATATCAGCACTGATTACTTTTTTTTTAGCTTAATGGCATTTTGGTATCTAATTAATTTCTATTATTAATGCACTGGGCCTTTGTCCAGGCTGTCCCTGTCCTAGTTCTATAGTTATAAAGTTATTAATTTGTATATTGAAAGGTGTCAGTAATCTTTAATGTCACCACCGATTACATGTTTAAGTTATTTGTATTTCTTAGCTAATTCTTGGTTATTATACATGTTCTGTGATTAATCATCCGGACTGTCTTGACTCTGGAGAGCTGATTTGTATATAAAAGTGCCTATAGATTTCAGATGGCAGTTAAACATGCATGCATTGTTCAATGAGCTCCTAAATAGAAATGTTTGGTTTAGCTGAAAGTTCATGTTTAGTCAGTGGATGTGGAAAAAGATAAAAGAAGATCAGCAATGACAGTTGGTACTGGCCTGCATATCAGAGGACAGAAAATTAGTGATCAGGACAAGTTTCTTTACCTGCCTAATCAATTGCTTCTTCCAATAGATTTCATCCAACAATCATGTACATATATTATAGATATAAGATTGTAAAAACATTTCTTAACAATGGTCTAGGTTCATTTTTTATCATGTTAACCTCCCTGGCGGTATGATTTTTAATTTTTTTCATGTCATTTTTCGGTTTATTTATTTTTCGAATTTTTTCGTCTTTGTTGTTTTTTTCGTTTTTTTTATAATATCCCGCCGGTTCAGCCCCCTTGCGACGCGTACGCTCGCAAGGGACGGAACCCGGAAGATGGAAGACGGCATCGGCCGCAGAACACAGCGTGGCTCGAGGGACAAGGTAAGTAAATACTATGCGGCTTTGCCGAGTGTAGCTCGGGGCTACCGCTTATGGTATGGAAAAGTAACCCTGAGCTACACTCGGGAATACCGTCAGGGAGGTTAAGGTCATATTAAAGTCAAAACTATTTCAAATATTAATTAAATCAATTACAATGGATGCATCTCCTTGATCATAATCAGCATAACCAGCTGGTCCCCTGACACTGGCCCAGATATCATGTTTTAGGGTGGCTTCATCCTTTTCAGGGTCCTATGAAGCCACCTTTGTGTGTTAGTAAGCTGTGTGTGTCTCCATAAGGAATATATTAATGCAGACTTTAATGTTTACTTTATTGCCTTCGAGCAATACAATTGTTAGCAGTTCATATGTTCATATATTTTTTTATTTTGTCTTTTTAGGTACATCATGAATGAAAAAATGGACTTAAATGTGTCTACGATATGGACTCCTAGGAAAACCATGAACAGGACACAGCCCAATATAGACCCAAACATAACATATGTGGACTTCTACCTCCATCGGCCATCAGTTGCAGCAGTTTTCATAATTTCATACCTATTAATCTTTATCCTGTGTATGCTCGGCAATGGAGTGGTTTGTTTTATTGTTCTCAGCAGCAAACACATGCGAACAGTCACTAATCTTTTTATCTTAAATCTGGCTGTCAGTGATTTACTAGTTGGGATTTTCTGCATGCCCACAACATTACTGGATAACATCATTGCAGGTATTACACTTACCCATTATGACATAACAAAAGATGATAATGGCATTTTTGTGTATTGAAAATCAGAAATAGATATATTGTATGGCCACCATCAGACCATCATATACTGTAGATCAGGGGTGCCCATTAGGTAGATCCCGATCTACCAGTAGATCGCAAAGCGAACACTGGTAGATCGCGATCGGCTCACTGACCTGTGTCCTGTGCTCCTGCGGTGCTCGTGCGGCTAAATGTGTCAGACGCCGCAGACGGGAAGGAGAGATGCGAGGAGACTTGGGAAGTAAGAAAAGACAGACAGAGAGACAGCAGAGAAAGTGAGAGAGACAGCAGAGAGAGAGAGAGAAGAAAGATAGCAGAGAAAGTGAGAGAAGAGAGAACAGAGACAACAGAGAGAAGAGATAGCAGATAGAAATAGGGGAGGGAGCGCGGGGAGAGAGAAGAGAGAGCGCGAGGAGAGAGAGAAGAGAGGGTCGGTTCACACCACAAAGTTTTAGTTCCAGAGTGTTCGGCCTCTAGAACGCATTGGAACGCAAGCCGGCCGACTCCCTGCGTTCAGGGGCGGGAGAGGGCGTGGCGGTGCATTGAAGAAAATGTCGCCACAGCCACGCCCCCCGCCCTCAGAACGCAGGCACATTAATGCCTGCGTTGCTGTCCAGCCTGATCTGCAAAAATGCAGCATTTTTGCAGATCGCACTGGACTGGAACGCAGGCACTAATGTGCCTTCATTCCTGGTGCGGCGATTGAACTGGGGGCATGGCTGCGGTGCCATTGACTTCAATGCACCGCCACGCCCGTGAATGCAGGTATTTTTCGTTGGTAGATCTCATTGAGCTCGCCATTTGAAAAGTAGATCTCCAGACAAAGAATTGTGGGCGCCCCTGCTGTAGATAGACCCTGTACATAGACCTGTTAGGAAATGGCCTGTAACAAGTGTTAATTTATATGATATGTACATATATTAATAGCCTTTACTTAGTGACATCACAAATTTTGATAGTAGTCTTATTTAGTTAGTGAATCAACTAATGAGCTTAAACCTTACTCCAGCCAAAAAATATATATATTTATTTTTCTTTCAGTTTTTTTTATTTCTGCCTGTAACCCCATTAAGAAGACTTCCTCTCACTTCCTGTACCTGTGTACAGTGGAGTGTCCTTGTTACAATATATATATATATATATATAACACCTTGGATTAGACAAAAATAAAATGAAATAAATTAAGAATGTTAATCAAATGCAAACAGTACAGGCAGTCCCCAGGTTACAAACAAGATAGGAACATGCTTGTTTTTAAGTTGAATATGTATGTAAGTTGGAACAGGTACATTTTTTTGGATAGCCAATTTTTTTTGTTTTGTTTTGGATAGCAGAGGGAAGGGTTTACCCCCTGTAAAGTTTGTCTTGCTGTGTGCGCCCGTTCAGAAGATTCCACCTCACTTTCTGCCCCTGTGACAATTTTATTTTGAAAATTTTGGGTTGTCGTGGAAACAAGGATTGGTGATAAAGCTTCAGTGGAGACACCTTTTTCCCATGATCACTCTTACAGGAGTGAATTTCCCTTCCTAGTTGTAGATTTCTGTTCACTTCCTATTGTCTCAAGTGCAGGAAGTGAGATTAAATCTTTCTAGTGAGGATACAGACAGCAGTAAAAACCTTGCAATGACCCGGAAGAAGAGGTGGGCACCCCTCGTCTGCACCTCTAACAAGAGCCAACTTCCTATAATGTACGTACAGTACTAAGACCCAGACCCAAAAAGACAGGCACTCCTCATTAGCACGAGCGCGGTAGCCTTACAACTACCCCTGTTGTACACTAATAAGTAGTGTACATAGGAGTCGTATGTAAGTCGGATGTATGTAACCCGGAGACTGCCTGTATGATATCAAGATTCAGACCAGAGATGGCAATGGTATTCCAATAAAATACCCATTTCACCCAAAACCTATTTCATTTAAGATAAAATGGGGAAGGGTTTGAGCCTCTCTTAGGCTTTTATTGTCTTTGTTTTCCTTTTCAGGCACATGATCAATATTTTTACTGGTGACAAAAAACCCAAAATATATATATATA